TTAAAGAAAACCTTGTTTACTGACAAAACCCGGACAGAGCCTTTCGCACTGCACTGAAGTAAGTTGTGAAACAAGCTGGGGGGCATTGGCCCAGACGTTCGACAGGACGAGAAACATATGCACAGCGGAAAAAAAATCGTAATGGCGTGGGAAGATAGTGGCAGTGCTTAACCCACGTGTAGCATTTTCTTCCCCAAGCTCACGATGGACGTTTATCGCAGAGATGGGAAACAACTTCTTAAGAACTGAAAGCGAGTGGTAGCAATCAGACAAGATGTTCAATGGAAAAGTGTTTATCAGTAAATTCTAGTCGAAGACCACTGGTCCTGGTACTCACCTGCAGTATAATCGTACAGTGCGACAACTGTACACTGTGTGAGAGCATCGGATCCCGACAATTCGGAAACCTATCGGAAGCGCGAAGCAAATAAAGGTTATCCCAGATGGAATCAAGCGGTCTAAAAGAATTTCGAACATGAACCATAAACAAGTGTAACATAGGAAACGATACAACTGAATCATATGAAACGGACAACAGTATCTCTGACAAGCAGAGTGGCAGACAGCAAGTATGAACAAGAGTTGAATTCCAAAAGTCTATACCGACGAGGCCTCAACGATCGTGACGGGTATCCTCGACTGAGACCACATAGTATGTGTGGGAAAGCTGCAAAGGCAGTTTCATTCGGAAAACGATAGGACGTTGATCCAATAATTGATGGAAGATTGTGGAACAGGATTCAGACTTGGATGGAAAATTGCCCATTATTTTCATCACGACAAAATGATTTGAAACAATTAATGTTGTGGCAGTGCGGTCGAGTCAACAACCTCGTTATCGTATCATCCACTTTGAAACGGTATTGTCACTTGGTCACAAGTCTCTTGGAAAGTCTACCTTCCAAAGTGGATGATACCAAAATATTCTGTAAAGCAGTGTAAGTTCTCGCCTTAACCACTAAGCTATCTACAAAGTAACTTCATCCTTAGATGCGACTGCAACAGTCTTGAACCGACTCCATCTGCAAGGCTTCAGCAATACTACCAACAAACTACGTTTGAACACACCTGGTCTACGTGCTCCGCGGGATATGTTGTGGTTTCAACAGCAGGCTCTTGTTCGGATTCTGGATACACCTCTGGTGTGGGTTCCTGGACTGATGCCCGTTGAGGTTCATGAGTTGGCTGGAAAAATAAGGGAAAATGATATTGAACGCCATTGTCGAAAAAACGACCTAGCTATATAGTTACTTTCCACAAAGCACCAGTTTTCACACGTCACAGACTCCTTTCAAGTGAATCACACTGACCAAGTTGCTAAAACGCAAAGGAATGGGGCTGACAACGGGACACTTCTCCAGCCCCGGAAATGTTCTTTGTAGAACATGTATCTGGCTCCATTTCACCGATAAATTTATGGAGAACAGACGTGTAGTGTGTGTAGAAAGCGCCATCATGGGCAGTGCACAGTAGAGTCCCCCTCCCGCCAGCCATTGCTAAGTGGCTGTCCGAAGAAAGCCCATTCCCAGAAATGTCTGAAAAAATACACACACACACACACACACACACACACACACACACACACACACACACACACACACACACACACACACACACACACACACACACACACACACACACACACACACACACACACACACACACACACACACACACACACACACACACACACACACACACACACACACACACACACACACACACACACACACACACACACACACACACACACACACACACACACACACACACACACACACACACACACACACACACACACACACACACACACACACACACACACACACACACACACACACACACACACACCGCTGGTTCCCTTTTCAGATGTGAAAATCCACAATATTCTCCGAATAAACTACGGAAACCTCAAATGCAGCCAAATTTAGCTCCAGTCATTGAGCACAGTTTAAACAAATCTGACGGAATACCGAAGTTTGTAGGCTATCGAGAAAACTGACACGAATTACCTGTGGTTCTGGTGGGCTTGGGGGAGCATTCGCCGCAGCTTTGCTTCGTTCCGCTTCCCAACGAGCCCGTTCTTCGGACATGCGTATCTGCGCTGCAGTAGGCCCACACGAGGCAGGCGAGGCTGCTGTTTGCCCCTTATATTCAAACTGCGATCTCAAAGCGGATATCCCACCAGCTTGTCCGCGAACCTCGGCTGTGTACCGACCACAGAGAAATAGAAATGAAGAAATAGAGATTATTAAGGAAGGAAGCGATCACCAAGATCAGGAGAACTCCGCCACAAAGAACATTGCTGAGCCCTCTGCAGAGTTCCCACAGCTCAAAAGGATTAAATAAAGAGATCTCAGGAAGCGGAAATGTTGAGTCTTGATTTAGTCCAGCGTCAGTATAAGGTGACAGACGAGTTAGCGAAGATCAAACGGCAAGAGACCACCGATGAAGCAGAATCACTTGACAGTTTTAGTAGTCACCTCTTGGATCTAACGAGGATGCTAACACAGTGAATCTAGTCACTAGGCAAGGCTTATGATGCGGTCACCCTCTCCCAAAAACAAGTGGAGATGGGAGGTTGAGAAGAGGCTGAATGTGTTTATTTTGCTCCAACAACCCTAACGATCATCCTGGCCTTAAACGTGGTATTCTCGAGAATATGCATGCCATCATTACTGACACTCGTGTGAACGTCTATAGCCTTTTTTGGCTAACGTGTATTCGGGAATATCAGTCGATTTTTGATGGCCAACCGCCACCTACAGCAGTGATATGCTCGTCTGTTCGTCACGAACATAAACTGAAGTGTGGCTGGTGAAGTTTCCCCTTAGAATCGAGTGTTTGGAAGAAGTGTCTTTCCAGTAAAATGAATTTTGGGATAAGGTTTCACTTGAGAAGCACTCGCAAAACGTCGTCCGTTATATGAGCTGTTGATACAAACTATCTTTGTTCAAAGGCAGGATAGAGTCCCGCATACACTGAAGATCCTCATTGAGACTAGGACTGGGATAATGCCAGGTTGCCCAATCCCAGACAGAAGTCGAGAGGCAGATGTTGGGTTCGAACCACAAACCTTCCGGTCAGTAAATTTGCGCTCTAACCACTTGAGCCATCTCGCTGTGCGGAAGGACTGGCCCGCTCCTCGAATAAACTCACCGAATCTACCGTGTTTAATCCCGGTAAAACTGACTGCACCTGAACTCAGCCGTACACACGGTTATCCACACAGCCACTTGATTAGGGCATAATTGAAAGAACCGAAGGTAGATTGGAAAGGGTGTGAAAGTAGCACAGTATTTCTTCCCAAACATTGTGCGAAAATAGTTGCTGCGCAGCTTCTTTGGGCGCCCCCCCCCATTCCAACTGGAAACCCAATTGCAGTTAAGAGTTGTCTGGTCATGATTACTACATATCTTTCGCTAGCTTCGACGTAAAATTCACTGTATATCACCACCTTTCCTGGAGAACCTTCTAGCTTCGTCAGTACTTGGGCTACTAGCCAACATCCGTCAACGGAAGTGGGTCAAGTTGAGAACAATGGAAAGCACCGAAAGCTAACCTACTCATCAAAGTATCCAACTCTAACCGTTATCCCAAAAAAGTCTGAAAGGTTTCTCCCCAGTTTCATTTCATCAAACAACACTGGCAATCATATGGGTGATGGTTGAGGAAGCTTTCACACCTACTACGGAGCTCGAGATAGCTCGTTGGTTAATGTCCCAAATTATTGCCAGGAGGTCCGTGGTTCGAACCCAACCTCAGCATCTCGATTGCTCGTGTCTAGACTTGAGCAACGTGACAGTATCTCAGACACCGAAAGGGTTTTACAGCTGAGCGATCAATGTTTCCATCAAATGGATACTAAACGCCGTTTCAATAGGTTTTATGATTTCTGTATTCGACGACCGCACTTTGGCTTCGTGGTTATTAGTAGTTCTCTCGGATTTTAAAAGACTTAGTTGTGACGCTTAAAACAGGCGAGCTAGCCGAATTCTATAGGCTGAAGGGAGGAGGCAGTGTAGTCTGTAGGTCAGGGGACTGGTTGCCTCGCGCAGCTATTTTCGCCCATCCATGCACAGGCATTCTGGATAGAAACTGACGCCAGGAACGCCACTGACATCCGTTGACAGCCATATCTTTTAGTGTCTCCAACCAGATGCAGTGGGAATCACGCGGTCCCCATCCTAGAAGGCGAGTGGCACCGACAGCACCCAAACATTTCGTGATTTCTCTCATACACCTCTGCCTGGTCAAGGGTTGGTCACCTCTCTGCTTTTGCCACTCTGAGTTAGGCATAGAAAACAGCTCTCTTCGGCAAAGGATGGTTATACATAAGCAACACATGTCCCAACCAACACAACTTCTGGTGCTGGACACATCCTTCAATGGAAGTACCTGTTCCACAACCGAAAACTCGCTTCCTAATTACCTCTTTACGGATTCGCCGACACCAACTCGCACGAGCTATGGTTCTGAGACAACGATTGCCGAACACCTGAAGATGTCTCAGTTCCGCTACTTGAACAAGCCAACTGTTCAAAATGAACATCGACAGAGTTTTACAAGATTGCTGCGCATGCTAACAGTAACCCATATTTTCAAGTGACAACGAATCAGTACCACAGTTTCGAGTAATCGACCCAATCACAGAGTTTGGGCAGAGTATCTTCAGTCATGGAAACATCTGAAAAAAGCAGGGCAGAGGTGGAAGTATATATGAGAGAATAGGCTATAATAGGAACCCTCCACGACTTACGTCTCATTTGAGAAGGGTGTAGCTGCATGGTGTCTTTTGATTGATCTGCTCCAGCTGTCGTATCCATTCGATCAGTCTGTACACCGTATTTACCACCGAATCCCTTGGCGTAGTCCGTCTGAGACGGATGGGCAGCAGTTTGTTCTCGGTGATCCCAACCTACTGCAGACTAGCAAAACCAAAAGGTGGAAAGTGTGAATAGGATGGAGCCAAGTGATCAAAACTACACACTTCAACACACTCGGACACCTAGAATGATGGATACCCAGATGTGAAGGTATCTTTGTATTCGACAAGAAGCCAGGTCAGTTAAGACTAGACAAATCAATGAGGAGACTCCCAAAAACATCCCTTGCCAACACTGTTTGATAATCTCTATGTGAACGACAATTTATGAGTTGCTGTGCGGTGAAAGACCCGGGCATTTCGAAGCATGCCTAAGCGCAGAACAGTGGAAAAACATCCCGGAGCGTGCAGACACTGTAAACTATTTAACTAGGTCAGCAACGGCGATCACTTACAACAGATCGATGAAGCTCATTCTATACAGATGAGCGCGCGTGTAAAAAGTACAAACAGCTTAGGCCGGTGTGACCCCGTCACGTGATTTGAACAAATTGCGTGGAAACCAAAAGATGCGCTTAGCTGTGTCAAACACAAATCGGTGTTTCTCATTGCGGCAAAAAGTTGTGACATCGTACGCAGGGGCCAGAATAGTTGAATATGAACCCAAGATGGAAAACGGAACGTCACCGCGTTCTAATGGCGAAAGAATCGGGATGCATAGTAGGTTTGCACCAGAAAGATGGCCATACCCATGAGAAGACAGCAGCTACCAATGTCAATGTGTTTGTCAGCTAGTTTTGTTGTAACAACGCGCTCCATGTGGTTGGGCGAAAATGGCTTTTCGAAGAAATCAGTTTACGATGTACAGAACAGAAAGTGTCCACGTGAGACATGACCCGCCCTCATCGTAGTTGACGGTTGCTTGAATGTGAATCCCTGAGATTGGTAAGCGTTGAAAGCTGGCCGTGCCTAATCTCACTGCTCAGAATCACGTACACACTGTTCTTCACATGACAGTTGAACTGTGTGATGTTATCGTCATCATCATCAGCTGTAAGAACCGCGTATTCGTCGTACAGTGGTTGCAGCTGCCGCAGTTTCGTTCACCGATGATTTGGGGAGGTGGGATAAGTAGCTGCACATTCGTGGCGGGAGCTGGTAAATTGGTGCATAAATCCAGCATTGTCAGTGGACTGTCAAGTGGGGGTGGGATGGGAAACGACCTATGCGTTCAAGGCAATAGCTTGGATGCAAGAGCGCCATTGAGGGCGCGACTGGGCCATGTCTGACAATGTCTCTAGCCATTGATGTGGCCCGTCTCGAAGTCCCCATCCAGGAAGACGGCAATGACCAACACAGGTGAGTTTGCTGGTAATGGCTTTCATACTTCGCTGCCAAGTAAATGTTTGACCGCCTCTGGCTTGTTTCCACCCTTATCGTGGTTGTGCGAAAACAATCCTTCTAGGAAGTCGGTCGGCTGGTATACGCGGAACGTTGCCAAGCCAGTGCAACCTATGCAGTGTGATCAGTTCATCCATCGAGGGTGAGTTATTTCTTCTGAATACCATTCGACGTACTTCAGCATTGCTGATCCGGTGTGGCCACCAGACTCGGGCAATGCTCCGAAAACATCGATGTGGAGATGCTAGTGTCCAGTAGATCGCGACCGTATCCTCTCAGATGTGCTGTGCCTAAGCTGGGAAACGGCTGTTGGCACTGGAAGAAGGCACGTGCACGTAATTAAAACAACTTCGAAGTACACCGTCTGGTACATGAATGAGAGCACGTGTTTGGCGATCGCACGAACAAAACATGATTCTTTGTGGGATGCATATACTTCCAACTGTATCCTCTGATCCCAACCAACCGCATACTGTAACCACAGAACAGCGAGAGAAGGGCGCAACTGTGTGACGGTCTTTTTATGAGAGACATCTGATGACTAAACGCCTATACTTTAAGAGTTTCATCTATCCGTCTGAGAGGCTCTGGATCAAATTCCTGTCCTTGGTATAAGTCAATCTAGTATTAAACGTTCTACCAGACAATTTGTTTCGAGAAAATGCTCCAGGGAGAGATGTCACAGACTTTACCCATGGGTCTCTGGGATTGCTTGGTTGCAGAAAGCCAATTCACTAATGTGTCAACTCCACTGAGCCATCGGACTGAAGATCGATCTTTATTGGGGCTTGATGTCGATGGGCTTGTAAAGCAAATGAATGTACATACAATACAATACAATCGACCACCCGGAGGAATATTTACAAGGAAAGGTCTATTCGGGCTTATCTGGAGGGGGTAGTTCTTCTTAGGGAGAACATCTGAACCTAGTTCAGCAATTGGCTGGTCATACCTTACAAGATTTACAATAATACGACCACATTTGTCATCCACAACTACCAGCAAAAGAATAAAGGCTAGGACAGCCCCATTAGGAAGACAAGGTTCTGCAAACAATCACTGAAATGTGACTGGAGTCCCCACGTGTGAAGTTTGCGTATCGTCTTCAATTTTCTCAAACATCACTGAAGAAGCCGGTAAATTTTTTGCCTATGTTTCCACAGGAGAAGAGTTCGTCTTCAAGAAGGAAACTACACACAAGGTTGCTGAGGACTCTTCTTTGCGGAGAGAGAAACTACCATCGGAACAACTGCAAATGAAGATTAGAGGAGGCCCTTCATTGCCCAGTATTCCGATCATCAGATGGTATATTAGTCAGGAAAATACTAATGAGAATAGCAAGCGGTCTGCTCTAGGCAAAGACTACTCGTGGTGAATAGAACTTTGAGAAGGAAACAACCCATTCGTAACATTGTCTCTTTTTCTAAACAGTTACATCAAACTACATGCCTCGTGAATCGCCCAGTTTTGGGTATCAGTTGCACCGACATATCCCAGTAGATGGTTGATTCCACAACTAGGTAACTTCAGTGAGGACGTCGATAAATAGGACGGGAAATGGACAAAGCCAAGCCGCCAAGCACAAATCGTAGCAGGTTGTAAATTACTACCGGAATCACTTAACGAGGTCTTAAGTGAACACATCACATACTTTCGTTTCTATACCGCTTCAGTCCAGCTTCCCAGGATTGAATCCAGTTGTGTTAGATATGGCGAGTAATATACCCGACGAACTAAACAGTGAAATATTGGAACGTACTCAGATGCCGTAATAGATCAGGGGCTGTTAAAGAGAGGAGCATTACACTGGTCTTCTGACACCTGTTCGCTTAAAAGGAAATAGCGTTCGACGTGTTATCCGGTAGAGTACCCTCGGTTACCCAATTCGCCAGTATAACTACGGCCACAGTGGCGAAATTCATCCCGTAAGAGACACTCATACAGTTCAGATTAAAACATGGAGTCGGAACATGGGACCTAATGCTAATTTAAAATCAAACTGTCCAACCCAAATAGCCCGGCAGATAACAGCATCGATCCGTCGAACTAGAAATGAAAGTGTACTCTGAAACTGACCTTGTCCTGTCGATCAGCCTGAACACCAAACTTTCCGCCAAAACCAAGCTTATGATCTTTCTGAGATGCATGCTTTTCCACCACTTCGACGTGATCATGACCAACTGCAGACTGGAAGAGACGTAAACATGCCAAAATGATGATGATGACAACGACAGGAGGGCAGCAAACAAGTGGGGAAGGGTAAGATGATGTGTGTTAAATAACAAAATCGACCAGGGAACGTGACTGTGGTGGGTCGAGATGAACAGTAAGATGAGCGTGAGGATTCAAGGGGGGAGAAGTTCTTTCAGCAACCAAGAATGTGACATAAGAGGTGGAGAATATCTATAATATGCCTGAAGAATGTCGTCGGTGGTGTTGCCGAATAAAATAACTAAATTCACGGGGCTGCAAGCGAATAAGATTAATGGAATCACCTGAGAATCAATATGACTAGATTAAGGTGCCGCTGACCCCTTCAGAATAGACACACGTGATTCCACCGAGTTTGCCTGTCAGAATGGCGGCTGTCCCTGATCAGTCATAATGAAGCAAACGGCTAGCTTATCGTAAGACGGAGAAAAGACGTACATGCTTACGTCAGTCGTCAAATACCAGATTCGGCAAATCACGGCAAAACCAATTTCCGACGTTTCGAGAGGTTCACACGAACACTGCAGTGTAGAGTCCGAGTACAAGTAGACTGAGAATAAATTCAAACTGTCCGTCCTAGAACAACCATGACTTGCAGCTAGCAGGACTGGACAGTGAACTTTCCTCTGTGGTTCCAACATAGTCAAGCATCGTTTCGTACTGCGTTTTGCACACTGTCCTGGTGCGCAGTTCTGAGCTCATCCATACTAATGGACTAGTCTAGGACAAAACAAGATGGGACAAGTGCGCACCCCCGCGAGTAAAAACCCATGAAACTTCACTAAGAACCATTTTACGCGACTGCAGGAGAGTGGAAGCCCAAGAAGATACCTTTCCACAGAAAGCAACAGATCAGCAGTATGATTAATTTACAGTTCGAGAAGGTATAACGTCAATTATTCCTCAACCGCACAGGTCATTAACTGACACCTCGAATGACGACTTCTCGGATGAAGATAGCATGCGACTTGTGCGAGATAAAGTCCCAATCAGAACCTGAAAATACACCCACTACATTAGGCCGGCAGAGGAACACTGATCATATACCGACAGTAGACAGACCGCAAGCAGAAGAGAATTAACCTCCATTCGGAATTCTATCTAACATCAAAAAAGATATGGCGGCGAGATTCACCAGTCAAAAGAGATAAAACGATACTAAGGAGATATAATCACAATTTGGTAAATGTATGCCCACCTTGTCCATTCGATCCCGTTCCACACCAAACTTCCCTCCATAGCCATAAGACGGTTTTGGGGCAGTTTTCAGTTTGTTCTGTTGATCGGCTTGTTTGACTTCCTCGCGAAGAGTGTTCATACTGTTTAGAGCAGGGGAATAGAAACAGGTTGATTAATAGGCGTTGCTGAATTATTGTTGAAGAACAGAACTACGCGTCACAAGGAGATCATTGATATCAAGTGGAAATTCGGCAAGTAGTGTTCATCAGACCGGAATGGTGCTTGGATACTCTTGGGTTGAAGGTTCGGGCATCGAGAATGCCATCATGAACGACAGGATGAGGGAACTACCAAGGAGGAACCAAACACCAAAAGATTTAGCCTAGTGGCACACATACACTCAGGTCGAAAGCAACGCTTTTGTACATACCTATAAGAAAGTGATGTGTTATTTCTATGAACAGAATCGCAGCAGAAATGGTTAGGATATTTTGGTGCAGTACTCCACTTTTCAGGAAATCTTTCAAGAAAAAGGAAGATGACTTGAAAAGCGTAGATTTCGTATGCATTACTCTCTCCCTCCGAGGACGAGGAAATTACCGGTTCCCAAGACAGCTGATTTACTAAGTGAACGGAAGTAACACATCAGCAATGTCCATATTATCCCTCCAGGTTTCTTCGTGGTAAACGGTTGATTTTATAAGCGGTACTGATGGACTACCGTCACATCAACTGGTTCTTCTAAACTTAAGTATGATAGGGAGCACAGCATCATTAGCTGGGTGAATCAACACACAACAGCATTAAGATCTAACCCCGAGCAGTGGTCGCACAGAGTAGGAAACATCACATCGGTTCATAAAACATTCGGATACAGTTATAATGCGGTCAGGTTGTCAACAGTGACAGCCCTCACGAAGAAACCACCTCATCGAGGACAGTTTGATATCGTTTGAAGTTTCTTCTCTCGAGCGGGAAGTTCTCGAATTTTGAGTCTAATCTCATCATGTGAAGAATTCGCGGGTGAACTGCCAGTCGTCAGATTCCCCAAGAGGAGATTCCTTCCTGATTTGTATGTAGCTTGATATTTGAGCCACCGCTAGTTTATTGTCTGCAGAAATGGAGTGATTCAAACTAGCGATGGCTGATACCATCACTGTATGACAGGATTCTTCATAATTGTCGTTCCGGATTCAGCCAAGAATTCACTTCGAAGCCACAATCCTCTATAAAAAGGCGACGATATCAAAGACAGGTGAAATAACAGTTCCTGGTTGATGATTTGCATGCTCTGAGGCTTCAAACGAATAGGAGAAAAAGGATGCAACAATTACCGGTGCCTAGTTATAGCACCATGACTTCGGCATCCAGTTGGCCTGTTTATACTGTTGACAGGGTGAGCGTATTCCCGGAAAAGACAACACAGTTCGACATTTTAATAACTCGTTAGGTTTAAGTTTTGTCCCTTCGAACTGGAAGTGCCGGAAAACGCCCTAAAGAAAAACTTGTTTCAAAGAGGCTCTTTATAATGTAAGTGGTTCTACACGTTGATGAGATTGCTGTTCAGAAAAAACAAAATAACAAACCCAGACAGTTTTTCTGATGTCTCTGGACTGTCAGTCAGGAAAAGTCAGATTTGCTGTGTTCAAAGGAGGTACCAAGCGATTCCAGAGTACAGATTGCAACGACTGTTTCGGTCGAACTGAGACGCACTTCACTGAACAACTGATGTCCCATTCCTAAAAGGTCGTGTCGACAGGCAGGTAAAAAGTGGTCTCTACAAGAGGGTCTTGTCTTGGTAGACTTTACTGTTTGTATACGCTAAAGATAAAGAGGCACCAAAACCCAGCAGGAGTACAGCACTTGATGGGGTTTTATTTAAACCGATCTGAGATGGATATACAGGCCTAAGCTACACGAGTAAACGGAGGTTGGTAAGACGATGACTGAGGTCCGGTCATCCGTTTGCCACAAAAACTGCACTGTATATCGATAAGAACCGTAGTGCTTATCCTGATACCACCAGGCGCCCAAATCGATGCTGAAACGATAGTTGATTCACATAGCTTCAAAGGTTGCACCGGAATGCAATGTTTCATATGCATCATGCAGAGGCCACAGCTTACGCACGTTTCGTCATGGTTGTAATCAGTAGTGTTTTCCATGAAGTTCAACAGGGAATTTTTGAGAGACTGTCTATTTGAGGATGTGGTTTAATGTGCGAAGTAGCCTTATAAAAATATTGTAGCTGAGGTACTTTCACTATCGTCATTCCGTCAAAAATTCTCCCCTGGATCGGCAACTGTCATCATACGAAGAAGCTGGTAGGTACTGTATGTGGATATATACTACCTGCAGCTTCGTTTATTCACCCAAAAGCGGGTTTCGGGCTTGCATTTGGCTGTCACTTCGACTCCCTGCTTATCCCACAACTCGACACACTTTTAGACCACCGGATTACCATGAACGACACACTTGTTTGTGACGGCTACAATGGCATTCGTGAGAAGAAAAAGTGCTCGAAAAAGAGAACAAAATGCACGACGATAGGTCGCAGCTGGGAATGGCTATACTCGTTATACGAATAGCCTACTCGCTACTAAGACCACGTAGTATTCTTGTTGCACATATGATTGCGATTCTGTCTCCTCACACAAATCCGTCAAAGATGATAATTACTGAGCACAGCTGAGATAAGCTCCCTTTGAGAAAGTGGACAAAAATAGGCTTCTTTCGTCTACTTAAAGAGTTGCACAACTGCTTATCTGAAAAAGGTGCTGAGTCTTGGTAAATAAAGGCAAGTCATGCGGAGTCGCAGCATTCCGCGTAGCAGGTGGAAAGCACAGTTGAATACTTCGAATGTCTTAAGCATGAAACCAACTCTTCAAATCTATCGTGCAATGCAATCTGTGCAAGAAGCAGTGGGAAAGGAAGGAACATAGGTCTAACACGATGAACCGTACGAAGTGACTGAATTGCAAGTTAATCTACATCCACGGAACCCTAAGAACTTCCATCTGCATGCCCAGGAATTTGTTAAAAAACGACGCATAATTCACTAACTTACTCGATATATGCCTGCCTTCCAGAACCCGGTACCGTTTTTGAACCCCATCTTTGTTCCTTTTCAGAAACATCGTTCTATATTGGACTGCTATATAGTGTCCACCGAGTTACTCACCACAAAGTCCGGTTCGGTTTCCCAGTCGTCCCCCATGGTGTGGCTAAAAACAGACACATATGAACGATTTTCCATCAACGCCAACCAGGAGAGACAGGATTTCAGGTGTTCTGGCTCCCCCTGGGCAGTAAATTACAATCACGATTCAGTTGTTGTACAGTCAACTTCAACAATGAAGAGCTAAACAGTGCGAGCGGAAGTTCAGAGGTTCTACCAATCGACGTGGGCGAGGGCAGGAAACAAGAGAATCTTCAGAAGTGTTTAATTATATCATTACAAAAGACCGTGGTCATAAAAGAAGTCCATAATCATAGGACAGATTTGTTTCAAGCTAAATCGACACTTCGCATTCATTTTGTTTCAGGAAACCAACATAGCATTTATTCAGCTCGTCAAAGATAGATCGCCACCTTATAAGCGCTCAGCTGTAGCACTCTTCCGGTAACTAGCTGCAATGCTACCTGAAGGAAGCACGAGGGCTGGGATACTGCCAGGTTGCTTAAGCCTAGACAGGGGAAGTTGAGAGGCGGTGGGATTCGAACCACAGATCTTCCCGTCAGTAAATTCGCGCTTTTACCACTTGGGCCATCACGCTGATTAACCATTTAAGTCTCCAATCACGACCAAAAATGGCCATACTTTGTGATCCAGCTTGGATACTGTCATAATCCAGTGGGATACAGTGAACAGGATGCTAAACTGGAGCTCATCTGACAGGAAGGCCGAAGGAGAGTAGCCAGGCGAAGAGCACCGAGTTCGAAAACCGCAAGTTACAAAACAGGAGTGTAAAGGTAGTCAAGTATTACCTATGAACAACCACGTACGATTTTTCCTCGTCTCTTTGACTCCAATACACACACGGTCACGAAAAACTTCCTGTTTGTCACTGGGGACAAAATGTTCCCAGGGGGTTCGGGCATAGACATTGTTTATGCAGAGCATATAGCTCTCCTTGAATCAATCTCCAAGCTGCTGCAGACAAAATTAAATAACCTAAATGGTTCTGCCGAAATCCAGTGTGCGCGCCAAATCAAATTGGCAATGCAGTGATTTGTATGATGATTTCTGAGAAAGAATCCACTCAAAATGGTTGAAACTCACGAAGCTTCATAGATTCAGCCGACTCGATCCCATGATCCGAAATCTAAATGACAGTCCGTCCGCATAACAGCAACGAAATGAGAGCGGCCGGAGAGGACAGATCATGGGATAGTGGCGAAACAAGGACATTACAGTACTACCTCATTATAAGACACCATTAAGATGCAGCTCAACTTCTACTAATCTTAGGCTGGGAATCAGTCCAGGCAGAGTCCATAATCCAAGAGGTAGGAAAAAGTTGCCCTCCAGCCAGTAAGAGCTCGTGTCAGCATCTTACAAGCGAGCAGGACTGTTAACCAAACAGAATTTCTAAAATCCAAGAAAAAAAAGCAGAACCGAATTTCCCTCCGAGTTGAAAAGAGCACCGTTTGGCCATCTCCAGTCTTGGGGAAAAGCCAATGCCTGTCATTATCACATCATCATCAACTTCAGCTGTAAACCGTGCTGAATAATGGTTACAGATGCTACAACTTCCGTCACCGACGAGCTGTTAAGATAGGGGTGGATAGCTACAATAGTTCCTTGATGTACCTTATTTTTGAACTACCCGACAATGGCTTAAGGCTGTACTCGCCGGAAGGCGAACAGTTCCGAGAAGTTTGACTGCTGTTAGTGGTCCCTACTCCCAGTGACAGATAGGACAGTCCAATCAGAAACTCAGTACTTGTCACGGCTACATTGAAGACTCGCAATTTCCCATGAGACTGAGTTGAGCTATGCGAAGGGTGAAATGCTGGAGTCCGTAAATTGCCGGATTATTTCACCTCTTCTATTAAGAGGTCGGACAGGTACGTCTATTTTGATGGAGAAATTGTTGATCACTGTGTGCTGATTTCCAGTGGTGAGTTAGAATGTTAGCGCCATGTCCCTCCCGCACCCACCTTTTTCTCCCCTTTTCACTTCAAGGTTTTAAATATAAGTAAACTCCGTGGTTTTTCCGGCAGTGAGGCATCACTGTCAGAAGTAATTATCCACCAGACTCGGGTAATGATCTGAGAACAACGATGGTAGAATGCTGGAAGATTTTTGACGCCATTGGCGTGCAGTGACCTGGTTCCTGGCCCAAGTAACAGTATAGAGGGCATCGCAGCACTGCAAACTCTATCCATGCTTTCCTTGCATCACAGGTGATACGAGTTACCGAAAGATACCCTAGACATTACGACCCGGATGAAAATATCATATTTGGCTAGACCGTATAGACTGATTCACACTAGAAAAAAGACAATTGCTCGGTTACAATACCCGTCCAGTGCGTAGCAGCCATACTACCCAAAGGGAGTATGAGGGCCGAGATACTGCGCAGTATCCATGCAACCTGGTGCCAGTTGCACAGGCCGCCGTCGAGATGAAGAGGCTAGGCTCGAACCAAGGACCCTACAATCAGTTTGTGATTGAACTCTGGGCTATCTTGAGCTTAGCTACCCAGGTAGACAAATTTGTCTACTCTACTTCAATCGGTTCTTCCGCGAACATGGGTATCCGGTTCGAGTTCATCCAATTTTGCAAAAGCAGTCTGCAATTTCTAGGTGTGAAGTGCACGGTGAGTCATGAGAGAGAATCATTTAAATTACTTAATGTCGTCCGCATTACGTCAGATCCAAGAAGAACTATGTAGTCTGCGCGCAGGCGAGTACACGTACTCGATACCCGTGAACGACATCCGCCTTGGAAGCATGTGGGCCCTACTGACACTAGGGGCTGGGAACGAGTCCTCCGTAATCACACGATGACGGAGCTGAGTAAGAAAGGTGAAATGTCGCAACCCCGCCCGAAAACACTTGATGTAATGAACTCTGAATAACTTTCACATATTCACGGGAGTTGGCGTAGAGCGCCTTAAGGAGAGCTAAGAATTCAAGCGGGGCACACTTGCTCCATAGACAATGCCGTGATTCCCAACGAACCACAAAAGAAGACAGCTTGAGAAAAATTTGGATCCTGCCTGTCAATCAGCAAGTCCGCGGTTCCGAGACGCGGCATTAGCAACTGGCATTCAGTTATTTCTGAAACCCGATTGGATGTCGGTTCCACATTTTCGACCAATCAGAGCTCGCTGAGATGTCGAGCCGATATATGGTTCGATCTCCTGGCCAATCGCTTGCAAGTTAGGTTTATTAGCCTGCGAACAATGTGCTTTTCATGGGGTAGGACACAGAAAAGAATCTTGTCCTGTAAGGTTCACTGGATCACCCTCGAAGCCGGGAGCTCATATTCAGTGGCATCACTCTATTGCAGATCCAGTGTGTTCATGACCACGGTCGAAATGTATGCTCGAGTTGGGCCTCCGGTGAAGCAGCTGGAGGAGTTTCTCCAGTGTCCAGAGGCACTTCTACACTAAATTCGCTCAATTCGTTTGGCAGGATCTACGCATTTCCAATCTGGATTTGGTTTGTGTTTTTGGTCCTATTCCTGTGGCCATAACCGAATTTCCCGTGAAACCGTGGCTCGAATGTTTACGTAATGTTGTGGCTTTCAGCGGCATTCACTCCAAGCCACATGTTTATTAAAAATTTGTTTCTATATGCTCAAAGCATCCTCCGGGCGGAGAATTATTATTTTTAAATGATTGTAGTTGCTCACCTTGATCGGCCTGTAGTTATGGTGGAAGATTTCGTAGAGAAGTTAGGTTTTCCACACTTTCCATTTTATTGCATTAACAGATGCCTTGAAGGAGTACTCGAAGGTGATGGATCGGTCGCCGCCGATGTACTATAAACTGTGAACTCTGTTGTAGTGTTGGGTACTGTGCAGCCATCCGTCAAGGATGAATTTGGGGGCAGTTGACCACGCAGGATAACTACGACCGCTGCATCAGGTACCGGCCGTGATTGTTAACCAGGACAGCGTTCACATTTTTCGCTATGTAGGGCATCCAGTCGTCCGTGCTGGCAAATTTTACGAATACATCCAAGAGCTTGAGGTGGAACCTGACGATGGCCGTTTTGTCCTCATTTGTCTCGCCCACACAAACATAGCTCTGGTTTGATGTATTCAATGTATCCTGAAACATGATGCCACGCACATCACGATTCGTTCTGGGTAAATTCTGTTCGATACTCTAATTTTCGCGACGCGTGTAAAGGCTGTATGCACATTTACTTTCATCTGAAGAGAGATTATTTCATCAGTCTGAGTTCAGCTTATTCAAGGAACTGATGGGTGGAAAACACTGCCTTAGCACGTTCACGATGGATGCAGTGACAATAAAAGCAGAGCAACCAAAAGCCGAGACTGGCTGCGACATACCAAGCAATGAGATAGCACTGCCTTTTCACAAACAATCATTTTTCCTGATGATTATCCCCGAAGTTTATCAGCTGATACATGCTTCATTACACGGTCCGTTTAGACAATGCGACCGAGTGATGAACCGTTTTCAGACAATAACCAGGGAGATTTTGCGGGAAACCCTTCGAGGTTTCCTGGAGCACTTTGTGACGGGAATGAACTATGGACCAAACGTCCAACTAAGGCACTTTTAGAGGGAAACTGACACCGATACATTTTTACCACTAGCGGCCAGGCAATGTTAAGGCCAAAAAGCATATCCCGCGCAAGATTGGCCGAAAAATTGGATCGCTAAACGTCCAGCTAGGGCACTTTTAGGGGGAAATTGACACCGATACATTTTTGACCACTAGCGGTCAGGCAATGTTAAAGCCAAAAAGAATATCTCGCGCAAGATTGGCCGAAAAATTGGGTCGCTTACCATTCCGGCCTCAAGGGGAGCTCAGATTGGTCGAAAGTCTGAACCTAACAGCCAATCGTGACCAAGTTTTTGCCGAATACCGGTTACCAAAGGCGCACCCAGAAATCGTCACAATTTGTAAAATCTTGTCGCGGTATGTTACCTAAATAC